GTTAACCATGATGTTATATTAGGTACTAGTTGATTATTTATATATATTATCTCTTTCCGAGTGTTGATTCGTTCTTTAAGGAAATGTTTAGTATAATCCTCAGGAAAATTTCATGAACCATCGAATGAAACTAACTGTTTTAATTGTTATGTCTATATACATATATATATATATATATATATATATATATATATATATATATATTTACTTATATATGAGTTCGAAAAAGTATATGTTTTGCTTATATATATGAAACCTCACACCACACAATTTTGGAGAATGTCAATAAATTTTAAGTATGACTAATCTAAATCAAGTAATTAATATAATTTTATATATTAATATAAAGGAACAAGGTTGTAGAGTAATATATATACATAGAGAGAGATACAATTCTGACCTCATAAATTAATCAGTCAAAATAAATTATGCTTAAATTTAAATTATAAGAGGAATTCATCAGTGATTTCTCTAACAATGGTCAATCTCCTTGTGATACTAAAATGGAGAATCCTTTAACAGAAAAGCGCAGTTTAGCTTCACCTCAAAATGTTCCTTTTCAAAAGTTTAGTGAGTCAAAAACATGTAGTTGTCACAATTGCTGACAAACATACTTAGATACATGGGATTATTTATTAGACTTCAGTGTACTCATGTCTAGAAAATGTATTAATCAATAAAAGAATTCTAGAATAAACAATATGTATGCATGCAAAAGATGAACACAAGTTATCACATATTCAAAGACAATTTTATGTTTACTCAATATAGACATGGTTGTTGAATGAGTATGAATAATATTAAATGTAAAACAATTATACAACATCACTTGTGTTTCTCTCTCTTCATTACTTCATTATTAATAATATCTCTCTTCACTATAAAGAAAGGGATGGAAAAAGATAAATACAAAAGTAATGTATAATTTTCGTTGTAATGTAGCATTACCCCATGAGTCTTGTGTGAGTAATATTAGTTTCAATGAGAAATAATCAGGTACAGCATGGACAGCAAGCGCACATATAATAACAGCAGTGATTGGTGTTGGAGTGTTGTCTTTGGCTTGGGCCATGGCCCAGTTGGGATGGATAATTGGCATATCCTCAATCTTGCTCTTTGCAATTGTCAATCTCTATACTTCAAATCTTCTAGCAGATTGTTATAGATCACCAGATCCTGTCACTGGCAAGAGGAACTGCACTTACATGGAGGCTGTGAGAATCAACTTAGGTATGTAATTAATTGCCGAATCTCATCTCATGTAATAGCATTAAGCATGTGTTTGAGTAAAATTCTCCACAAGCACTCTTAAAAGAGTAAAATAGAAAGGGAAAGTTAAATAAGTTTTTTTATAAGCTAAAATTAACTTATACAGAAACTATTTTGTAAAAGTTCTCTTTTATTAGTTTCTCCAAAATCTTATTTTTAACTTTTTTATAAACTAGTTTTAGCTTATCAAGAAATTTGTTTTGATTTTTCTTTTCTTTCCTAAAAATATGTTTATGGAGAAAATTTATCCAAACAAATCCTAACTCACTTGACTTCGTGCCCCAAGATGAATTCTAATTGCAATTTTTTTGTCAAACTATTAGGTGGTAAAATGCACATGTTGTGTGCATTTGTCCAGTACAACAGCCTTATTGGGCCAGCAATTGGCTACACAATAACTACAGCTATAAGTGTGGTGTAAGTTCTCTATTTTCTCAACCATAAGTGTAGTGTAAGTGTTGTGTTAGTATAATTTTAGAGTATTTATACTAATATTTCAATTTTTGCAAAATAAAGACAATATTCACAGAAAAAGAAAAAGAACAGCCACAAAAGTAAATCTAATGGCTATTTTTTATGATATTTTCTTAGTAATTTATTATTTTATCTGTAACAAATTATAAATATATAAAAAACACATTTATTTGGTGTCCATTTTTTCAAAGATATTTATGCTCCTATTTTATATTTTAGTTTTTTTCTAACAAATGTATCTCTTAAAAAATGATATAGGAAAAATATATGTATTCGAAGAAAAAATGACTGTTCACCCAATTCAAAGTAAATACCTTTTTTTTTCTTCACATAAGTAGGAAGTGTCTTTTTCACTTTGATTTATGAATAATATTAATATATCAACACTAAAGAAAAAGCTACAACTCGTACGTTTAGATAGTGAATTGTATCACTTTACTTGGTAATTTATTATTTTATTTATGATTATAGAAGGATGACTAGAGACACTATATATTTTACGTGTAGGGTCAATCAAGTCAGTAAGAAAAGGTAATATATTATTATTAAATAAAAAAATTATTTCTATTATAAACCAGTAATTCAATACAATATGTAGTAATATTTTGCGACTTTAATTTTATCATTCAAATTGATTTATTTCATATTTCAGGACAATTCGAAAAACTAATTGTTTCCACCAGAATGGAATCGCATCTTCGTGTCAGTTTTCAACTAATCCATACATGATTGGTCTTGGAATTGTTGAAATATTTTTGTCACAAATCCCCCATTTTCACAAGCTCTCGTGGCTCTCAATCTTAGCTGCAGCCACGTCTTTTGGTTATGCATCAATTGGTGCTGGACTCTCTCTTGCTCTAATCATCCAAGGTTAATTCATCCTTCTTATTCCTTTTCCTTTTAATCTTTTTGAATCATTCATTAAATATGAGTTCTAGGCATAATTTCAGTTTTCGATGTATAAACTGAATAAATCCCAGTTTTCATACCGTTACAAAGAATTGTTTAATATTACTAATTAAATAACCCTACTTATGCTTAAACTTATATTCATGCACACTTACGTACCAGATTTTACATTGCTATCTGTTATAAAAGAGAGAAAAGTAGAGAGAACAAACAAGATAATAAGAGATAGAGAAATGAATCGGATTGATGTATTATCTTTGGCAGTGGACTAACCTATTTATAAGTACATGTGGTAAAAAGGAACAATTACACAATAAATGGAATAATACATAACGGAAATATAAATGGTAATGATTGATAATGAATATTGACATCCACTAATTAAGCCACTAATTATTATTCATAACACTCTTCCTTGGATGTCCAATATTTAGAATATGCCTCGTTAAAACCTTACTAGGAAAAACCCAGTGGGATAAAAACCTAGTGAAAGAAAAAGAGTACATCATTCATAAATATTTATTTCTCCCCCTCATGCATACAATCTTTAAGACAACAGAGTCCAATCTTTTGTATCAACTGTTTAAAAACTTTTCTTGAAAGTGACTTTGTAAAGAGATCTGCTAGGTTGTCACTTGAGCGGACTTGTTGAACATTTATATCACCATTCCTTTGAAGATCATGAGTAAAAAAGAATTTCGGTAGAATATGCTTTGTTATATCTCCCTTTATGTATCGATCTTTCAATTGTGCAATACATGCAGCATTATCTTCATATATAACTGTCGATGTCATTTTTCCAGAAGATAAACCACAAGTTTCCCGTATGTGTTGAATCACAGATTTTAGCCAAACACATTCACGACTTGCCTCATGTAATGCTAAAATTTCAGCATGATTAGATGAAGTGGCTGATATGGTTTGTTTTACATATCGCCATGAAATGTCTGTACCACCACTTATGAACAAATATCCTGTTTGTGATTTACTATTATGAGGATCTGACAAATAATCTGCGTTTGCATAACCATTTAGTTCTAATTTGGGAACATTTTAATATAATAACCTCATATCCATTGTACCTCTAAGATAACGAAGGATTTGTTTAAATCCATTCCAATGTCTTCGTGTAGGTGAAGAACTATATCTTGCTAACAAATTAACAACAAATGTTATATCAGGTCGTGTATAATTAGCAAGGTACATTAGTGCTCCTATAACACTAAGATATGGTACTTCGGGACCAAGTATTTCCTCATCCTTTTCTTGGGGTCTAAATGGATCTTACAACCATGGGAGTGCACAATGGATGTGATTTATCCATATAAAATCTTTTAACAACCTTTGTTATATAAGCTTCTTGATGCACAAGAATTCCATATTCAACTTGCATTCCAAGACAAAACTTTATCCTTCTTAGATCCTTCATTTCAAATTCTTTCTTCAAGCAATTTATTGCCTTTGAAAGCTCTTCAGGAGTTCCAATGATGTTTATGTCATCTACATAAACTATAATTATGGCAAATCAATTTCTAGATCTTTTTATATCCTTCTTGTAACAAGTATTCACTTAGTCGATTATACCACATACGACCTTATTGCTTTAGCCTATATAGGGACTTATTCAATTTGATCGAATAATCTTCTCTAGAAATTGCATCGTCAGGCAAACTAAATCCTTCTGGGAGTTTCATATAAATGTCAACATCAAGAGAGCCATATAAATATGTTGTAACTACATCCATTAGATGTAAATTAAGTTTTTCATGTACAACCAAACTAATTAAATATCGAAAAGTGTTTGCATCCACTACAGGTGAATGTCTCTTCAAAATCAATATCAAGTCTTTGTGAAAAACCTTGAGCAACTAGTCTTGCGTTGTATCTCACAATTTCACCATTGTCATTTCGTTTTTGCACAAAACCCATTTGTATCCAATTGGTTTTACACCTTTTGGTGCACGTAGTACTGGTCCAAAAACTTTTCGCTTAGCAAGCGAGTCTAATTCTGCCTCAATTGCATCTTTCTATTTTGGCCAATCATTTCTTTGTCGACAACCATTAATGGACTTTAGTACTTGATCCTCAATATCATTTATTACATTTAGAGCTATATTATATGCAAACACGTCATCAATATTGACAGTGTTTCAATTTCATCGTATTCCATTCATGACATAATTTATTGAGATCTCTTCATTTTCAATAATTTCAGGTACCTGAGTTTCTTCTAGAACTGAAATATTAGTTATGTCAAAGGAATATTTTTGAGGATTCTTCTAGAACATGATATCAATATTGGTCGTTTTGCTTTTTAGCTCCCTTTTTTTTTATTCGAGGATTCTTATCCTTGAAAATAATTGGTCTACCACGCTTCAGGCGTATTTGTGAATTGTTTGTAGTATTAAATTGTCCAACAAGGACTTCGACTCTTATTATAATTTGGGCTTTTGGGCCTTCTGATGTCCTATCTTGTTGTTTGTATTCCCCTGGACGAAATTGGGTGTCTACAGCTACCCCTCTTTATTGTCCTTTGTGTTGAGCTTAGAGGAGTCTGAACTTGATGAGGTCAAGATTATCTCTGAAGCTTAAAGGAGTTTTGATGATCACAAAATGTGTGTCAAGGACAACAAACAAACAAAACCAACTTAGAAGACAAAAACAAAGTCAAAGAAAGTGCTATGTAATAGAAATTAGTATATAAATTGTTTTGAATGATTTTATGTGTTGTGTGTGCTGTGTGCATAAGCTAAATCTATATCTAAACTAATTAGAGAGTGTATGATGATGAGTTAAAAGGACTAAAAAGTTATTTTGAGACTTAAAACGAAGTTTTGAAAACTGACTCAAAATAATCGATTATCATTAAATATAATCGATTATTCCAGCATCAGGCAAGATGGGATGCCTTGCTGCAATAATCGATTATTTGTGAAATAATCAATTATCCCAGAAATGACTCTCTGGAATAATCAATTATCTAGCAAAATAATCGATTATATTGTTCTTGGTGGGTTTCCAGAAAACCTGAAGAACAAAATAATCGATTATTCTTTAAAATAATCGATTATCTGGTTCTGAAACTTTTATAAATAGTTTGAACATTTTGAAACTTCAGAACAATGTTAGAACTGAGAATCAAATTTAGAAAAACATTTTTGTGGAGTCTTTGTGACAATCTTGGAGAGTTTTCTTTGTGAATCAGAGGCCAACGGCGAAGAGCAGCCATGGCTAAGAATAATCTGACAGAGGTCATCTTGGTAACGGGGGAGAAAGTGTCACCATAGTCTAATCCAAAAATCTGAGTATAACCTTTGGCGACCAAATGAGCTTTGAGTCGATCAATGGTGCCATCAAGACCAACCTTGACTGTAAAGATCCATCGACATCCAACCACAGACTTCCCAGGAGGCAAACGTTCTGATTTTGGAACAGCCCGTTCTGATTTTGGAACGGCCCATTCCAGGACACTTAAAATAGTTAATTTGGGCTTTTGGGCCTTCTGATGTCCTATCTTGTTGTTTGTATTCCCCTGGACGAAATTGGGTGTCTACAGCTACCCCTCTTTATTGTCCTTTGTGTTGAGCTTAGAGGAGTCTGAACTTGATGAGGTCAAGATTATCTCTGAAGCTTAAAGGAGTTTTGATGATCACAAAATGTGTGTCAAGGACAACAAACAAACAAAACCAACTTAGAAGACAAAAACAAAGTCAAAGAAAGTGCTATGTAATAGAAATTAGTATATAAATTGTTTTGAATGATTTTATGTGTTGTGTGTGCTGTGTGCATAAGCTAAATCTATATCTAAACTAATTAGAGAGTGTATGATGATGAGTTAAAAGGACTAAAAAGTTATTTTGAGACTTAAAACGAAGTTTTGAAAACTGACTCAAAATAATCGATTATCATTAAATATAATCGATTATTCCAGCATCAGGCAAGATGGGATGCCTTGCTGCAATAATCGATTATTTGTGAAATAATCAATTATCCCAGAAATGACTCTCTGGAATAATCAATTATCTAGCAAAATAATCGATTATATTGTTCTTGGTGGGTTTCCAGAAAACCTGAAGAACAAAATAATCGATTATTCTTTAAAATAATCGATTATCTGGTTCTGAAACTTTTATAAATAGTTTGAACATTTTGAAACTTCAGAACAATGTTAGAACTGAGAATCAAATTTAGAAAAACATTTTTGTGGAGTCTTTGTGACAATCTTGGAGAGTTTTCTTTGTGAATCCAAGAAGAAAAACGTTTAGGGCACCACGTATCAGCAATCCTCGTCTTCATCAAACATCCTCCCAAAAAAAATGGACAATCACATCATTAGCATCAACAGGCAGCCTGGAGAGGCCAGACATAACAATACTTACCATTCAGCAGGCATCCTGGAGAGGCCAGGCATAACAATATTCACCATTAAGCACGCAGCCTGGAGAGGTCAGGCATAATAATACTCACCGATCAGCAGGCTGCCTGGAGAGGCTAGCCATAATAATACTCTCTCTTAAACAAGCTATAAATAAAGGGACACATTATCACAAGAGAAACCATGGAGCTTCTACTCGAAGACTGAAGATCAGGTGTATTGTTTGTCAAACTTGTTACCCAATAGAGTACGCAATCAATACTCAACTACTCTAAAGGGTGAGGATACGAGCAAATACACCTGTCCAAGGGAAGCTAAGTAGAAGCATCAACACAGAGATGAGAAGAAGACCCAGACGAAATGTCTACGTCTTTACTTGCCTTTGGAAAAGCAACACAGTTATTCCAAAGTGTTAGAAAAGAATGGCACAATCCAAGAGGGGGTGAATTGGATTCTATGACCCTTTAAAAATTTTCAGAGTATTTAGGATCTTTATTTCACTTAAACTTTTCTAAGACTGAATTTTTAATGGACAAGTTGCTTATTGCAATCAATTTAATCATGAACAATATCAAATAAACATATGGGAAACTCATAATTTTTTTCAAGAAATCACACAAAACCTAAATAGGCTTGAGGACACGCTTTGCTAGTCATAATTTTTTATAAGCGCCTCAAATGTCATTCAACATTATAATTATGGCATTTACAAAATTATTCTACTTCCGGTGATGACCTCATTTATATAAAGGATCAAATATAATGTAATATATTTATATCAAAATTTTCCCTTCTGGTGAAATTTATTTTATTTTTCACTTTTCATATTATTTTCTCACTTCTAGTGAGAAAATTTATTCCTTCAATTTCATTTTTTTCATCATTTTCCCACTTCTGGTAAGAAAAAAAATAAAGTAAAAGAGGCTGAACATTCTTCTTTGATATTGTCTTCTAGACAGATTTCAAAAATGTATAAAAAGTTTCTTTATTTAATAGTGTCTTCAGGACTACTATAATGTCTTCAAGAGTACTTTGATTCATAACAATGTAAACAATACAAATATTTGATAAAATTCTTATTATGAAAAATGAATAGCTAACCTTGAAATATTTGTTTTGAAAAATATGACTTTCTTCACGAAAATTCTTCACAGCTTTCTCTTGTAGTCGTAACACCAATATGTAAAAGACTATCGTGCTGATAACGTGTTATAAAAGAGAGAAAAGTAGAGAGAACAAACAAGATAATAAGAGATAGATAAAAGAATCGGATTGATGTATTATCTTTGGCAATGGACTAACCTATTTATAAGTACATATGGTAAAGGAACAATTACACAATAAATGAAATAATACATAACGGAAATATAAATGGTAATGATTGATAATGAATATTGACATCCACTAATTAAGCCACTAATTATTATTCATAACATTATCCTGATTTTGCCACAATCCTTGGTATATAGCAGATCCAATTATAAGGTATATACTTGATTCTCACATTAAAAGTATAAAATTTTAGGGCGAGTTAATAAAATATTGGGCTCTCTAATTAACTATATATAATAGCTAGTTTTTGTGGTGTAGTTCTCCTAAGTTTCTTACCATTTGGTATCAAGGTCTTTCACCATGTTTCCCAACTACTAACGAGCAGCATGGGAGGTGAAATAAATGGTAGAAATTTAACATCAAAACTAGTTGAGTAAAACAAATTCTTTGAGAATGTCATTTAAAATAAATAATGAAATCAAATGCTAAAATTCTCAACAAATAAAATATGATTTGACACTTCAAAAGGTCATGCAAGTATATAAAAACTACACAACTAAACCATTAACATAAACAAAAATAAACTCCAATCCTAAGTCACAATCCTATCATAACATAACTCAATAGAAAACTGAGGTATTTTTCAACTAAAAACCAAGTTCAATGTACATCATTAGGGATGATGAGGCGAAATGGGAACAGGTAATAACTACTTGTCATTAGTATGAGTATGATCCATTTAGCAAGTACCTATTAATTTTTTATATATACCCATGAGTATCTACAATTATCCATGAATATTTTATAAAATGTAGAGAATTTTAAATAAGAAGGTAAGATGACATCAACCACATGTTAGACGAGATGATAATTTTGTGTCATATGTAGAAATTGCAAAATTTCTTATTTTTCAAGGTTTCTCAAACTCACACTTGTCCAACTTATTATACATGAATTGAAACCTAAACTAAGGTTTTTAACTTACTCCTAACTCAGTTATTCAATTAATTTCATTATCAATTAGTCTATTCTAATTGATTTTTGTAACTTACTCATAACTCAGATATTCAATTAATTTCATTATCAATCTATTCGAATTGATTAATTTTAGTGTTCCCATTAGTTCTTACATTAATTAATTACTCCTAATTCTATTAATAGGATTCGAAATCAAACCCTCAAGATTCAATTACACAATACGTGAATTCAAACATAATTTGATTAATTGTTTAGGGTTTAGAATTTCAATCAAGTCAACAAGAACATAACATAGAACCAACATCACATTACAAATTTTGGGATATTCATAACCCTTCAATAGTCACACAACACAGATAAAGGAGATGAAAGACAACCCTACTACCCACAATTACCCATAGTGATTCTCCCAAGGTACTTGTCAATTGGTATTAGAGTCTTCCATCATGTTGTCTAGCTACAAACGAGCGGCATAGGTGGTGACATCGAAATTGTAGTGTTCGCTTGGAACTAGTCAAAGGAGATAGTCCACAACCAGTCCAGGTGCCTGGAGATGTGAAAGTATAGGGTCAAAAGCATGGTGGTGGATGTTATATAAAACTTGCTTACATACATATATAAATTTAAGTGTATTTTTTTTTTTCAAAAAGTTTAAGATATTTATTTAACCCATTAGCTAAAAATGTGATATTCAAATTTGAAGTTTTTGTAGTGCGGTTCTCCTAAGTTCTTATCAATTGGTATCAAAAACTTTCACCATGTCTTCCAATTGTAAATGAGCAATGTGGGTGGTGCGGACGATATTGCAATATTCGTCCAAGACTAGTCGAAGGGGCTAGTGCATCACCACTTACCTGGTGCTAAGGTTGCAGAAGTATGGGGTCAAAAACATGGTGGTTTATATTATATAAAACTTGCTTACATATATATGTAAGTTTAATTTTTTTTAAAAAAAATGTTTAAGATATTTATTTAACTCCTTAGTTAAAAATGTGATTCAAATTTGGACAAATGTACTAAAAAAATTTAGAAGTCATGGTAGACCCACTACAACAAAAATAGGTTTTAAGCAGCAATTTAAAACATGTTACTTAATTATGTATAAATGTTACTAATTTGCTTTAGCAACATATTATCAAATGTTATATATAGTCCATGTTGCTAAAGACTTTTAACAATATTTTTATATAATTAGGCAACATTTTTCAAATGTTAACAAAATAATATTTTTGTTATATTTTAATGATGTTGCCAATATTTTTTTAATTTTATAAAATGATAATTAATTTTAATTTAGATATATTACTATTAATTATTATATTTTTATGCCTCTTAAATTCTTAAGAGTTCTTTGAGAGAAGATCAAAGACATTATTAATCAGTTATCACTTATTATACATAAATTATCAAATTTCATTTATATAAAACATAATTATATGATTATATATACTCTTTATGAGTCATTAATCTATTTATTGCGAGACTTTAATTATGGGTAACAATTAGAGATAAAAGAAATTTATTTTTTTTACTCAATGTGAGACTTTGATTTTGGAAACAATTATAATATCAGTTTTCAAAAAAAATGTTGCAAAATAACTTATGTAAAATTTTTTTACTCGATATGGGACTTTGATTTTAAAAACAATTAGAAAGAATAATATTAAAATAAAAAATGTTACTCTATCTATAATAACATTTAAAAAAAAGTGTTGCAAAATAACCTATTTATTTAATATATAGTAATATTTTAACAAATATAAACAAGAAAATGTTGCTAAAGAATTAAAATCTAATAGTGACCGTATGTTGAGTTACACGAAAATAGAAAAAGAAATTCATTTTATCCACACTTTATGTCGTACACCATCTTTTAAATTGAGAGATCTAATTTTTTTCTTATATTAACGGACATTGAAATTAAATATTTCGAAGTTAAATATGAAGTGCTTTTATAATAGAGTTGGGAGAGCGTGTTCAATTCTAATATTAATTCCTCAAGAGATGGGTCTAGTCATTTTATTCCTAACTTGAAGTAAACTATACTAACTCGTGATATTTGACCATTTCCTTTTTCAACATTTATTAGAATACCTAAAAACTTTGTTTATTTAAATCTATTAAAATTTCACTTAAAAATCTAATCCATCTAATTCATTTAAAAAAAATCTATCAAATCTATTACTTACCAAAATTTTGATGGAATGAATATTCAATCCATCTACGAAAAATAACAATTTAATTTTTTTAAAAAAAATATTTTTGAAATATTTTATGTATCTATTTTTTTAAATTTTTTTTTATAAATCATTATATTTATATATAATATTTTAAATTTTAAATTTTACAATAAATATTTTATATTATAATCTAATGAATTTTGAAAAAGTAGTAGATGAATTATTAACCATCCAAAAATTTAAATGGATGGATTAGTTGTGATTTATTATTTATTTTTATTATAATTGATTGATTGAATGAATTTACATGTAAAATGAATGATATGGATGATGAATAAATGAATTTTTGTTACCCATATAATACATACATGAGTACCAAAATAAAGGCATGAAAGTCTAGTAGATATTATTTATTTCCATTACTAGGAAAAAATGACTATATTTTAAAAATATTGCCATTTTAGCTTCATTAGCCTATGGGTATGGCCATTAATTATTTATTATTAAAATTGAATTCTAATCTTAAGAAAAACAAAATAGACCATCATATAATATAGTGAAAGCAACATGAAAAGGAGTATAGACTCGTGAACAAATACTCTTGAGCCAAATGCATGGACTATTGTTTGAGTTGTATTTGAACATTAAAAAATTGACATCATATATAACATTGTATATAACAAATTTTATATTACTTTTTGTATACGTACATCTCAAAAATATATATATCATAATAATATAAGAAAACAATTTTTGTTAACCCTTTTTTACTGTTCATGAAACATTTTCCATTTCAATCGTGGGGAACATGGTTGGTAACAATCGTGTATACACTACCTTCTTTATATTATGTGCTAAACTTTGTTGTGTTTATAGTAGTTTATGAGGATTTATATTTGGCAAAACAGGGATTGAAGCAGGGAAAGGAAAAGGTACCTCTTTAATGGGGGGAAGCAAAAAACTGAGTCCAATAGACAACTTCTGGAAAATTTTCATTGCACTGGGAAACATTGCACTTGCTAGTTGTTATTCTCAAATTGCCATTGATATTCAGGTATGTATACACAATGAAAGGAGATAATGTGTATTCCGTGTAATCCCCTACCCATTTTGATCCTACATATGTTATTGTCTCTTAGCATATATTATTGAATGGAGGACATAAAATCTATAATCTAAAAAAAGTCTTGAAACCTACTTTAATTATAACCAAAAATAATAATTAGAAAGTACTTGAACTAAGTAGTTTGTAGGTTTAGGTGATTATGCACCCAATATCAACTGCATGCATTATATTATACTTATTATATTATACATTTTCAAGAAAATAAAACATATTTGGACGAGAGGAAAGAAAAATAAAGAAAAAATAAGAATAGAAAAAATGTATATATTTTGTCTGTTTAAGAGAAAATATAAATAAAAGAGAGTGAGTTGTTTTGTAAACATGAAAGGCTGAAAATTTCTTTTATTTATTTTTTTTAATTTCAATTTTGATTTTTTTTCTCCTTTTTTTTCTCACATCTTAACCAAACATGACCTTATGTTCAAATGAGAGGAGATAAAGTAAAAAATAGAGAGAAGAGAAAATAATGCAGTAATCAGAATCTGATATGTTGTAACCAGAATTTGATATTCAGTGATGTTGTAACCAAAAAACAATGTCAGAATATGATATTCTGCATTAGAGAACACAAATAACAATATATTCTTTTATAATTGATTGAAAAGACATAAAAAAAAAAAGTAATTTTAGAACAAAATTTTAACTTTACTTTCTTTTCAATTCAATTGTTGAACTTTCATGTCTCTTTTAGTTTCCTTTCTCTATACTAAACAGGGGTACGATTTTGCCATTACACTTTAAAATGATTTATACTGATATGGGATGAAAAGCAGGATTCTTTGAGATCATCACCACCAGAAAATAAAATAATGAAGATGGCAAATAAAATAGGTATATCCACGATGACATGTCTTTTCTTGGTATGTGCATGCTCTGGCTATGCTGCATTTGGCTCAGAAACACCTGGCAACATCCTATTGAGCTCTGGCTTTAAAGAGCCTTTTTGGCTAATTGACTTGGCTAATGTCTTCATTATTGTGCACTTGGTTGGAGCATATCAGGTTGAAACACATTTCCTTTCATCTTATGACATATTCAAAACATTTTGTTGACATTCATACTTAGAGTGCATTTGGAAAATCCATTTGATTGATGTTAAATGAAAGTTTTACACTTTTTATTAAGTATGCATTGGATTGAGTTTAGTTGGACTAAGCTTATATATCTAAATACACTTACAATCTCTAGATTAAAATTTTGATTTAGGAGGTGTTTCAAAAACAAGAAGGCAATTTATATCTACTAATAAAAGTGACCTATAACATTTTAGTAAATTTTGTAAAGCATATTTAATATTTTTCACTGTAAAACTTATCAAAATATACATTTTTTAATTTATTCTGATCAATTTTATAATTAAGCTTATGATATAAACTCTCATGTAATAGATTTTTATTTAATTATTGATCCTTGCCTTTTGTCAATTGCTTGTTTCAAATATGTTTATTGACCTTGAATGAATAAATTATATGTGGCAGGTTGTTGTGCAACCGATTTTTAGTGGAGTTGAAACATGGGCTAGCCAAAGGTGGCCAAGCTCAAGTTTTGTTAATGGAGAGTACCCGATGAGCATTGGGAAAATGAAGTTGAACCTTAACTTCTTTAGGCTAGTTTGGAGGAGCATGTTTGTGGTGGTAGTGACTGTTTTGGCCATGGCAATGCCCTTTTTCAATGAGATACTTGCCCTTTTGGGGGCCATTGGGTTTTGGCCATTAACTGTATATTTTCCTGTGGAGATGTACATTGTAAGAAAGAAGATAAAAAAAGGAACAACTAGATGGTTTGGACTTAAAACCTTGAGCATGGCTTTCATGTTATTGTCGGTGGCTATAGCATGCGCTGCCATCCATGGGGTGAATCAAAGTCTTCACAAGTACAAGCCCTTCATGTATAAGGAGTAGCTGAAGAGTGTAATGTGCTAACTGTAAAAGTTTGCTTTAGAATAAATGGAGATGAAAAGGAAAAAATTTAAGGTGACGTGTTACTTTTTTTTTTTTTTTTTCCAGGCTTGTTACTAGTATTTTTAATCCTTTGGATCATAAACTAATCTTATTCATAATACTATGATTAGTGTTGGTTCAAAGATTTTCACACGCAGTGGGAGTAAAACACATTATTCTCTTTTAAGTATATTCTTTTCAAACATATGAGCGCAAGGTGTCTAACCATTATGTCAACCCATCGAATTATTTTAGAGTTTAAAATAAATGCTTTTTAACTTAAAAAGTAAGGTTGTGTTTGAATGAGGTATTTTAAAATTTATAGAATTTAAATTTCTTGAAATTTGAATTATTTTGATTTTAATTTTTATCATTCATTAAATACTTTATTTAATAAATTAATTTAATCTACTTAAATTTTAAATTCGTTGTTTGGAAGGGGAAATTTAATTTTCATCATATGCAAAATTGATGTATATATATACATATATATCATAATTTTAATAATAAACTTTATAAAAACTTAGTCATTTTTAAATATTTAATAATTTAAAAATTTTAAATATCAGACAATATTTAAAAATTAATTTTTTTTAATATTCAATAATTAAAAAATTATTGATACTTTCTATGTCAACATTAAAGGAGAGGAGATAAAGGTAGGAAAAAAAAAAGAGACAAGAAAGAGGAGAGAAGACAACAAGGGATGAAAGGGAGAGAGAGAAAAGAAAGAAATGGAGAGAGAAGAGAGGAAAGGAGTTAAAATGGGGAGAAGGGAAAGAGAGAGCATAAAAATTAGAGAGAGCATAAAAATTAGAGAAAAGGCAAAAAAGATTTGATTGTAGGGTGCCTTTAGTAGGAAATCTTTACATATGTCAACCTCGAGGATTAGAAAGACAAATTTAATTATAGGGTTTAGGGACATGAGCTTAGGGTGCGAGATTACCCCTATCGGTGTGAGACTAGGTATGTTGAGGGTAACCAATGATGATTGAGACTAGGTAGGTCAAAAGATTGACCAATTTTTGATGGCTATGTTGGAACCTAAAAAATTATGATCTTGCTCACAGATAGTTTGGACTTCGTTTTGAAAATCTCATTAGTTTAGAAATGCTTGAGAACTTGACTAATCCTTCACTAATGGTTTTTGAAAAGGTTCGAAGGAATCATCACCAATAGTTTACTCAAAATATCAAAAAAAAAAAGAAAAGGTTTTCAAAAATTAATAAAGACCTTTATAGCTAGAATTAAGTTCGGGGGTCTATTACGCGTGGAGAAGGTATTAGGCACCCCACAACACCCTAATTTGGTATCCTACGATGAATTTAGCATAATAAACATAATTAAATATTTACCCATTTTATTATGCACACATTTAATTTATATTATATGTTATTTACAGGATAAAAATACCTATTATCTACATGATTATTTTTTTATTTATTGCATATAAGAAAAATAAATAAGACAATAAATAAAATAATAAATAAAAGAATGAAAAATAATAAGTAAAGACAATAAATAGAAGAGAAGAAATCAAAACCTCTGAAGCAAGACTTTTATAAGGAAATCTTCCCAAATACCTGTGAGGCGCGTTTTAGTAGCCGTCCGCTCTACAAAAAGCCTCACTATAACTCAGAAATATATAGAGAGGCGAGGAACTATGCAGCTTGAGTTATGTCTATTCCCTTAGCCAAACGGTTTCTTATATAGCCATCCAGGAGGCAAAAACATAAAAGAGTTGTCCGATGTGGGACTTAATCCTTTAGATTTCTTAGAAGTGGGACTAAATATACAAAAAAAAATAATCATGTTTTAGGCATTGTGCGGGATCTCTAGAGAACTCATTAACCGTTGGATCGTGCTGGTTTTTTTATGGTACCCTCTCGAGATATTTATATTTAAATTCAACAGTCGGATCTTCGAAATTAGGTCTGTAGCAAGAGATACTATCAGAGCTAAAACGTTGTTTGGTATAAGAATCCTCTTTTCTAGCTGTTGTACGGGGCCTCTAGAGAATTCATTAATTGTTGGATCATGCTAAATTTTTTGATGATATATTCTCAATACAGTTATCTTTAATATCAACGATTGGATCGTCAAAATTTGGTCTATAGCAAGATATACTATTAGAACAAAAATGTTGTCCAACGTAAAGCTCTTCTCCTTTTTCTGAAAAAGGGAACAACCATTCCCAAGCTAGAAATGACCGTTATAGCCCATAAACTTACACATAAAATGGGCCGTTGTAATGGGTCATTCCTAACTAGGGTTATAGGTCAATTTTATGGCTTGGAATGACTCATTATGGTTTGGGAACGATCGTTCCATGTGTAAAGTTAGCTTTTGAGTTTCTAGGCTTTTTCTTGAGTTGTTCCGGTCTGTTTCAATGCTTTATTGGACACTTAAGGGTTGCTCGTGTCATCCTAATAGCCTTTTGCGCTTAATAATGGCAGCCTGAAAGAAATCTGGTGTCTATAGTTGCCCCTCTTCACTTATCTTTTGGATGGCTAGATATTGCCTTTGAAAGGCAAGTAAAGACGTAGACATTTTTTCCAGATCCTCTCTTCTTGTCTTCACATCAACGCTCCACATTGCTTCCTTCGACTAGATGGGTTTTCCTGTGTCCTTGCTCTTTGGAATAGTAGGATGTCGGGATCACATTTTCCAGAGATGGGCAAGGATGGAAAAATGTACCTTCTAAACCTTTGGCTTTGTGTTAATGCTCCATGTCACCTCTCTTGTCTAGGGGTCAATCTCTGATACCAATTGAAGTTTAGTGGAAAACACATAGAAGGGGAGTTGAATGTGTGTGTGAACGAAGGATTTTTGAAAACTGTTTTCGCAAAGGTTCTTCTTTTCGTTAGAAAATAATATTTCAACTCCGTAAGGAGAATGCAAGATTGGTTAAAAAGAACTTTGCATCTGAAGATCTATCGTTTGTTCGAAAAATGATTTTCTCAGTCAAACAAATATAATTTGGTCCAAATATTGTTTAGAAAATAGATAGTAGTAGACTAAGTTTTTTAGGGAATAAGTCAATGTTAGTAAAACGTTTCTAAATCAAATAATAATGCACATAGTTTTTATACTGGTTCACTTGTTCTGAGCTACGTCCAGTCTCCTTCAACTGAAGGGTTCCACTAATCATAATGGATTACAAGTATTCTTAACCACTTCTAGTTCTTCAACCTCACTTGCTGACGCTAATATTCTTAAACCACTTCTAGTTTTCCAAGTATTCTTAATCACTCCTGGTTCGTCAACTTCACTTGCTGACGCTAGTATTCTTAAACCACTTCTAGTTCTACAAGAATTTTTTGCTAGCCTCTTCAGGCTTTTACAGATGATAAGAGTTTTGAATGTGTTTGTAACTCTCACAGAGAGAATTAAATGGTTTCAACACTCACTAAGGTTTTCAACCCTAGTTTTACAAAAACCTGTTTAGAGTGTGTATGTAACTCTCATTGTAACGCCATGGAAATACCGAGCTATTTGGTATATATATACTTTATGTATATATATATATATATGTATGTATGTATATGTTGCTTATATGGATTTGGATTGGATTATGGAGGTGTGAATTTGAAATGTACTTATCTTTGTGCATGTTATATAATTATGTGGTTTTGATTAGTTGTTTGGACATGGTAGTGATTGCAGTATGGAACGAGATATCGTTATTTTGAGGTGTTTATATAGGCATGTGTACGCATGAGTGTGGTGAATGATGCATTGTACACCATTATACTGAATTGATACTGAAAGGGAAAGACTGATCACCTTCCTTCTCATCTTAGTTAAGTGAAGTATTATGGCATGCAACTCATTATTCCAAGAATATGTATATAAATGTGATGTTTGTTTGCATGTTAATACATGTTTCATTTCATATGGTGGTGAGTTGTGAGTAATGCATGGAAAGAAATAGGATGGGTAGGAGATTGAAGGATAAGAACATAAGATAAATCTGGTCTTTCTGAGTAAATTTGAGGTTGGTTTAGAGCTTAGGAAGTTGAAATACTGCAAGGAATAGGATATTTAAGGTGAATAGGTGCTAAGGGTGAAATTTCAAAATTTTGGAAAATGGCTATATATAGGGACTTAAGACTGGAGGGTCTCATTTTGTCAAACAAAGACAGTTTCAAGAGAGAGAATCTGGTCCGTGTCGCAACCTGAAAATTTTTGATCTCGCGACATATAGTTTAGACATCCTTTTAAAGATCTCATCAATTAAGGAATGCCCGGACACTAGACTAATCCTTAATTAACGGTTTTGAAAAATGAGTTCATGGAGTCGCCACCAATGTTTTACTCAAAATATTGGAAAAAGAAAAGGTTTTTAAAAATCTAATAATGTCCTTGATAACCAGAATTGGGTTCGGGGGTCGGTTACGTGTAGGGAAGGTATTAAGCACCCCTACAGCGCCCTTAATTGGTACCCTATGATAAAGTTAATGAGATAAGAATTAATAAATTAAATATTAGATCCCCTTTTATTGATGACTATTTACATGCTTGAAATTTAAATTAAACAATTGATTCTAAAATATCACATGATTGCTTTTATTAAAACAATACTTATCAAAAACAAAAATAAAAGAGAGAGAAGAAGATTGATTGAAATACCTCGTAGCAAGCTTTGTTAAATCTTTTGATATGAAAATTATAGGTGCTTTGTGGCAACCTTTCACACTACAATATGCCTCACAAAACTCAAGAAATACAATAGGAAAGAGAGAGAGAAATTTCGAGCTCTAAGGAGTCTTGGAGGAAATTTTTGAGGTCCTGAGAACTGTGCCCGAGATTTTTATTTATAGGCATCAGATGTGGGCTGGAACGGCCGATTCTGGATTCGGAACGGCCCATTCTGGATCCGAACGTTATGTGTTAATTTTGCACCCTAGAACGACCCGTTCTGAAATCAGAACAGTCCGTTCAGGAAAACCAGAACGGCCCGTTCTGAAATGAGAACGGATCGTTCTGGGGTACAAATTAACTCTAAATTCCCTTCCTAGAATGGACCGTTCCAAACTAGGTTTGTTAGGCCT